TACGTGTGCATGTGTGGTGCAAGCGTTTTTGTGTGTTTGCGTGCGTGTGTGTAATGATTCCAAGGTTAGGACCGCCACTGAGACTCCGCAGAGCTGAACGCTCCCAGTAGTGAGCAGCCGAAAGCCTCTGAGAATCGTCAGTGTGGAGTCGCTTCCCAGGGCTGGGCCCACGCCGTCCGGCGGGAAGGCCGCCCCGGTGCCCAGCAGCCTCTCCTCTTCCGTGGAAAGCAGGAGGGGGCGCCCGGTAAGCGAGCAGCCTGGGGACCCCTGACGCAGACCCTACACAAATGCAACCGTGCGGACGCCACCAGATGAGTTCGGTTTGTTTAAGGAGCAGGATGCATTGTTTGGCGAAATGAAAATGCATTAAATCCTTAGCTTAATCGCACACGGTAAGCTGAGGGTGGTTTCGATGCTTAGAGAGAGTTCACGTAGGACGAGCCGCTCTTGGGGGACAACTCGGGCAGGATCTGCTCTTACTATTCACTGAGAGTGGGCTCGCTACCTAAATAAGGAAGAGGGTAAATTAGATTTTCACGAGTGGTACGTTTTCTATCAGCTGGAGGGCAGTGGCCACCAGAGGGACTGTACCAGGGGAGCGGAAGGATGCTCGAGACCGCAGGGCGGAGGCTGGCGCCGAGGCGCTGCCAGCGTGAAGGGCCGCACGGGCAGCGGGCGGGCCAGGTCTCAGCCCAGGTGCGTCTGCCCTCAGCAGCTGCCCTCCCTGTCCCCCACGCTGGGGACGGGAGCGGGGCAGGAGGGGGGCGTGCCTCACAACCCCGAGAGTTCTCCAGGTCCTATAATGACGCCCACTGACTCCAGCTGGCGGCCGTCCAGGACCGCCCAGTGACACCAGCATGCCAGCTTCCCGTCCCCTGCCAACGGCAGGGCCTGCTGCGTGTCAGATGCCACGTGGGGCCTTCCCACGAGCCTCACGGCACCGGGAGGGAAACCGAGGCTGGAAGGGATGAACGGACTGGCTTCGGCGTCAGCAAAGTCTGGATCTAAGCCTGCCCTTTCCAACATCTTGCTATGGGACCTCGGAAAAGCCTTTGAACCTCTTGTCAAAACCCGTGAAAAGCAGGCCAGGAACTATCCCTCAGGGCTTAGACGTGCAATTAAAAAAGATAACGCAGATGACCCCTCAGCACGGGCCTGGCACACGGGCGGCATGGGAGGCCCCGGAGCCACAGTGATGAGGAGAGCTGCTCATGTGCTGCGGTCCCCGTGACTTCTGAGGACCCCTCGGGCCGGACGGGGACCACAGAGATGTCTCCTTCAAGGCCCAGCCATGGTGGACAAGTCCATAAACATCACTAACTTACTCTGCGCGCTTCCAGGGACTCTGAGTCAAAAGCAGAAGCAACTACCACACAGCACGATTCCAGATGAGCAAGTGTCATGACAAAGGACTTGGGAAGAAAGTCTGGTCCTTACCACCTCACGCTTCTCCACTTCGAACCAGCGAGAAATCCCGGGTAGACTCTGCACCAAGTACAGCGACGTTCTCTCCACCCAGAGGCTCTGCGAAACACAAAGCAAATTCAGTCTCCAAACGGCCCCTCCTCCCAGCTACGGAGCCTCGACTAACGTTCGACATTCCGTTTCACCAGGTGCTGCTAATTCCGCACAGCTTCTCCTCGGGACTCATTCAGCGCTGGCTGGTGGTGGCCCCTTCACACTCGGCTTCCCCGGTAAGACACCGGGGACACGTATGTGCTCATTGCCACTGCGTTTCGCCTGAAACTCCCTTCTGTGAGAATAAATGCTCTCCTAGTTTACACAGCAAGCTTAAAAACACAAAATTAGGGCCTCACGTTATTTTCTCTGCTTTTTCTCTAAAATGGTTGTTGAAACTCTCTTTACTCCTCAAAGGCTGGCCGTTTTTATCCTGAAGGGGTAACAGCACCCGCAGTCCGCACAGTGTCAGAACGACAGCATAGCATGCTGAAGGGCTGGGGAGCAAAGGAGCTCGATCTTCCTGTTTTAAAGATGAAGATGCTAAGCCTCAGAGAGGCTCCGGGACCTGCTCAAAGCTGCATTCTAATTACCTGTCGAGCCAGCGCTGGACCCGCCCACGAGACCTCTGCCTCCTCCACGGTGCCACCTTTCCCCGTGCCCACCGGAACAGCGGCCATCCTGGCAGGTCTGTGTCCCAGAGCTGGGGCCCCTCTGGCCGGGACGAGCACCCCCAAGCCACGTGAAACCATGGCTGCCTTTGGGGAGAGCTGATGCTGATGACGGGGTTCTCTTTTGCCAACCAGGTTTCTGTACCTATGCCTCATTGTTCCTATGAAACAAGTACATTCCCAAGAGGACAATAATATTCTTGAAATGGTGCCATTTATTCAACAACATCAACGACAATGACAACCAATGAAAGGGTTTCTTTGTGCCAGCCAAGGCAGGCTGAAATGAACAGGGCAGAGACCCTGCGACAAGAGCCAGAGTGTGCTGGTGGTGACAGGGACGTAAGCGGATAAACGCGATCTCAGGACGCTGAGAGCCCGCGGGAGGGAGCGGGCACGCCCTCCTGCAGGAGAAGGACAGCTCTCAGAGGAGGTGACACGTGAGCGGAATTCTGAAGACTGAGTAGGAGTTTGCCGGGCGGGGGAGCTCTGCAGGCGGCAGGAAGCTGCAGGCGCAGAGCTGAGGCTTGTGAGGGCATGGCAGGCGAGGCAGAGGGAAGCTGGCTGTCGCTGGGCTGAGAGGGAGGGTAAGTGCGTGGGCCGGGAGGACGAGGCCTCTGAAGGGCAGTTCGGAGCCAGGTGCTGAGGGCTGTATGTGCCGGGATAAGGAGCAACGTCCATTATTGATTTTAGGGGGGTTAATAAGTATCTAAAGTGGTGGCCGCAGGGAAATGTGGTGCAGCGGATAAAGCAACGGACAAGGCGTGGGATGGTGTGGGTTCCAGGCGGGGCCGCCGGTAACCAGAATGTGACTCCAAGCAAGTCAATGGCCTGTCACTCATGGAGCTTTGACTTTCTAGTCACCGGAAACAATTGCAATGACAACTATCTCACAAGCTAACGATCTAAAATTGGTTTTGGAGGGCAAAAAGAGAAATGTTAAGTACCCCCAAAGAACCAGAAACTCATCACAGATCTTTGAAAGAACATCCCAGTGCGCGTCTCCAATAGTCTCCGGCCTTGACACTTAATCCATCCTGTCTCCTTGCTCTGTTCAGTCCCATCAAAACACCACGAAACGACCGCAGCCCCCCCCCTCCCATCACGTGGCTGCGAAGAATTCCTGGGGTTGCTGCTGGGAGCGCTGGGAACTGACACGCAAGGTGACAAGGTGAGTTAACGTTAGATAACCATTCGTCAGTCCCGTTTGCAGCTTAAGCAGAGATGATCTGTGATGAAACAAGCTGAGCCAGTCAACCCACAGCGATAAACTGGTTTTGCGTTCTTTGGGGGGAAAGTACTGACCCCTGGGGGTCTATGAGGTCTCACTATGTCGCCCCTGTCAAGGAAAGAGCAGGCTATAATTCGTCCATGCGCCAGTCTCGCCCCTTCCCCCCCGTGCGGCTGTGAGAGAGCACGCCCCCTTCTGAATCTGCAGGCACAGGGCAACTGAGGAGAACGAGAACTCGACGTATGCAGATCCTGCCATCTGCCCTTACACTGGATCCTCTCAGAAATCCTCCTTACACACCGTACAGACGAGGAAAAGCAGCAGGAGACAGCACAGATGCTCCCAGAAGGCTACCCAGCCATGTTCTCAGACTCCGCTGAGAACCACCAGACCAAATGATTCCTGGCTGTCCCTTGACTCTGAGTAACCATTTGGCGAGGGTCTGACCGCCGGGAGCTCCCAGCCCATAAGGAGAACGGCACAGTACCTTGAATTCATTCTCTTTATCTTTAGTGCCTTTGTGGAAGGGCCTGTCGTAGCGGAACTTCCAGATGTGATTCACTTTGTAGAAGCTTTTGATGTTGTCGGGGACGCCCTCTCTCTGCAGGACCTCCTGGCTCTCGGGAATGGGGGTCACGGCGTAGATCTGCAAATCTAGGATTAAAGGGTCAAGGAGGAACGGCCTGGCAAATTCTGGAGGTCTGGCTTGAGCCATGCGGCGGCAGACAGAAGGGAAGAGGTAACGGTCTGGCGTGCCTATGTGGGTCAAATTTTTAAAAAATCCCAAGAAAGTGCCTCGACCTCGGTCCCTAGCGAATCTTTTGTAAAACTATCGGTTTTGAACTAGTTGTAGATAGGTGATTCTGAACGAAAGCATCGGTTTCAAATTTCTATGACCCGTGAATTTACTGATCGCTGATTTTTTTTTCTGGTGAGAATGGCTGGGCATGGTTTGCATCCTACGTACTCAAAAGTATTACTTCTATTCCTTACTCTTTAGTCCATGCATGACCCTTTTCAAATTTGTTTGTGCTTCTAAATAATGCATAAATACCTATGCAATGGTGAGCAAAGACATAAGCCAGTACTGACGGTGACTTACGTTTACCGTGTGATGCCAGCGTCCGCAGCCTTCCCATATCTGTGGTCCCTGCTCTCCCAGATCCCGTACTGATAAGCAGCGTGTTCAGTTGTAGCTGATACTTTTAAAAATCACATAGGGTTGTGTATTTACCTCCTTCTCTTCTCAAAGAAGGATAACGAAGCATTTTTCTGAACGTCATTACTCGCTTCTACTGCGTTTTAGTTTCTGCTCTGAAATGGTAGCCATAGTTATTGCTGGGAGCTCCTGGCCTTAAGATCCTCAGCTTTGGGAAGAGACAGAGGGATCCAGAAATGAGTGCTGGGGTGAATCCCCTTTGTCTCTGACGCCTATGAAATTTCAGTTCGGTGGTTCATCTGTAGACAATGGGAGTGTCAACTATATAGCAATTATAAAAGGCCGTTCGGGATGCCTTGGCTAAGAGACCCCGAAAGACACTGGGGTATCTCTTCCTCTTGCCTTCCTCATTCCAGAATAAAAATGTCAAGGGAAAAGGGGATGAATGACACGTGCCAGTAAACACAAGGCTCGTATCTTCGTGAACTAAAGTAGCTTCCATAGGATATGTCGAGAGGAAAATTATTCTAAGGGCAATCACCGAGAAGAGTTTTCAAAGCAGGGCTGCGCTACAGAAAAGTTGACCAAAATGGGAAAAAAATTAACGAAATCTTTAAGAGATTTGTTTTCAACTGGCATCGTGGTCATAAATAGAACAAATCTGCTTAGAAGGAGCTAAGCTAAAGTAAAACGGAGAGAAAAAGGGAGGGTGAGGGCCTGGCGAGCGAACAGGGGCCAGAGGCCGAACCACGGTGCACGGAAACTCTCCGCGGCTCACGCCGGCGGCGCCCAGCGGGAACGCGGCCCTGCCAGGGGCGGATACACTGCGCCTCGGCCTGGAAGATGGTCTCGTCGGGCTGGTTGGCGTGCTGCATGGCGATGGCGTGGGGGAACTCGTTCAGCATCCTCTGCTGGAAGGCCTCCAGCCGCTCGTAGTCGTGCCCTCGGCAGACAAACTCCTTGTTCTGGGGTGAAATGAAAGAGAGACCAGGACTAGCCCTTCCAGTGGCGAGCGCGTGAACTCGGCAGAGGCACCGGCAGGGAGGGCGCCGGCCGCGACGGCACGTGCACCAGCAGACCGTTGCCACGGCGACAGCCGAACGCCGCGGAACGGTCTGGAAAACGTGCCCAAATGTTAAAAACGCAGGGCTAAGACTTAACGAGCTGCGCTCCCGACTGCTTGTAGCAGAACCCAGCGGCACACCTGGCTCTTCCCAGTTCACCTGCCCGAGGGGCCAAGAGGCACCTGATTCTCTGACCACCGAGTATAAACGACCACAACCGAGCCCCTCCCAGCGCTAACAGGCACGTGCTAAAGGTTTGTTTTATAAACTGGGCGCCCCATTTATGTGGAGAAACTCACAATGTGGAGGAAAAGACACGCAATCCCTAAAAATGCATTTTGCTGCATTCTTTCTAACAAGGCCACGGATATTAGCCTTCACACTGTGACAAACGACAGTCATCCACTGCCCGGAAGAGTGGGCCTGCTGTACCCCAGCTCCTGTGGGGCCGGCACGGGGAGCCCACTGTACCCCAGCTCACGGGGCTGGCATGGGGGGCCTGCTGTACCCCAGCTCCCGTGGGGCTGGCACAGGAAGCTTCTGAGCCGCAATGGCCTCAGCTCAGCTAGGATTTAGGATTTTGGGGGGCTTGCTAAAGATTGGACATATTTTTGTCTGTTTCTGTTTGTTTTGTTTTACAATAGTTCGTAATGAATTCGCTCAATTTCAAAAATTATCCCAGACACGTCTCCTCCATTGCCAGGGAGGTACACCCCCTCTCTTGACCAATGTTTTTATAAAATAAGACAGAATGGAAAATGGACAGAATGGAGTCAGGGATTTTATTAACCAGTAGGTGCCTTAGAATGTCTAGAACGTTCCCCTTGTAGAGAGAACCTATCCCAGCAATAAATCAGATCTCTTTGCTGGGTGACATTTATCTTCTTACGGAGTCATCAGCTAGGCTTCACACAATTGTGGGGTACTGTGCCCCTGATGCGTGACGGCGAGGCCGTCCACAGCCCCCAGACCCCACGAGCCCGCTGGTCCCCGTAACGCTACCCTGAGCACGGCCGACTGAACAGGAGAGCAAGTGTCAGTCACACAAGGGGCCCAGTCACCAAAGACTGGTCATAGTATGGGAAACTGGGCGAGAAAAACCAGAGGCCTGTTGGGTATCTGAGGAAATTACTCACAGCGAGGCGTTCTAGAGAACTATGGCTTTTGCAAGCTACAAAGTAAAAAGCGCCTCTGATAATTGTCATCACCTGTCTTAAAAGGATAAAATATCGTTCGTACCTTACTTGGCCTTTTGGTTGGGGTATCTACATTGGAAGCAGGCAAGTAAATTAGATGGTATATTACTTACTCTTAAGAAAAATGGAAACTTTTTCCCATAAAATCCAACTCTAAAGAACTCCGGCTCAAGACGTTGCTGGTCCATAATTTTGTCATACAGAGAAGCTTCCATCATCTAGGAAAAGCACAGGAGAAATTCTGATGATTTTACCTCATCTTTCAGCTCGACCGATTGATAGCAGAGGATATTTCTTCTATGTAAAGCACTTCCCTTTAGTTCAGTTTGCAGAAAAGGAGGTTTGACTCCCTTCCTAAGTTTTAAGGCAGGATCAGGAAACGTATTCTGCAAATGGCCATGGAATCCATATTTAAGGGAATCGATATTTTAGGCCATGTGGTCTCTGGCACAGCTACTAGAGTCTGCGAGGCCCACGGGCTATTTGCTAACCCCTGCTTTAAAGGATCAAATGTATTATTACGTGTTCTCACCAGAGACAATGATTTCTATGCACAGAGTCTACTGAGAAAATACCTTCCTCCCACTTAAATAAAAATTAACACGAACTGTTGGGGCAAAACCTTTCTGGGTTTGCTTCTCCTCGGACACGGTAATTCAGGACATTTGGAAGGTGCGCGCTTGTGCAGGGGACAAAGTGCTGTCTGGGCTCAAAGCCCTTAAGTGTGTCTATGAAGCACATAAAGCTTATGGCTTCCCGTCCTGGTGCTGTCATCCCCAGGGGGTCCAGGCAAAGACTAATATTGTCCTTGAAAACTCCCCCCTCCCTCCAACCCCGCTAACAGCGCCCAGAAGAGCAGTAGGCATGAAGTGTAATGCTCACTCAGACTTTATAAAAATCTTAGCGGCTACGGCACCCATGGGCTTTCGCGGGTAAACACTGTAACCCAGCTTCTGGCACGGGGACAGGAAGCCAGAGAAGCACAGGGACGTTTTTAGATAAAACTGCAGAGCCTGCCAGAGCCAGAGTGACGGACGGATGTTAAAACCAGGCCTTTTCTCTTTGGTTTTCATGTTGGGAGAAATATCGATGAACCGCTGATGTGAAACACAACTGGGCAGACAGGGGCAGTGCCCGGCGGCTGAGTGGGCTGCCTGCGGGGCAGGGGCTCGTGCCAGCTGTCAAAGCCTTATGACGTCGCCGCTTAAACCACTACTTCAGAACTGAAAGGCGACGCCACCGTCTTATTTCTTTCATATGTGAAAGCTGATGACCCTGCTTTAGAGAGCCCAAAGCCCTTAAGTATCGTGAGATGACACACCACGGACATGACTAGGGAGTAAGGGCGTGGGGAACAGGAAGACTTGTCCTGTCAGGAGCAGACAACACCTTTGGTCAGAGACGCAGATGGAACCCCGTGAGCTCCTGGGCGCTAAGACCTTGGTTTAGGGTTAGCGAGTATGAATATATTTCTGAAGCTCAGGACAAATGGCACCGACAGAATTTAGCCCCCAAATACTTAAAAATGGGTCCGTTAGCCATTCTACTATTCAGACTACGGGACGAAGAACGGTCGATTGTTACAGAGGTTTGGGTCCCAGTGGGGAGCTCTTCAAACGGTGTGACTCTCCTCGATTAACTAAAAGTCCGAATCCGGCTTGGACTCTACTTACGAAGCGGCGCTGGGCGCAGAGCGAGGGCTCACTTTCAAAACTACGCTTACCGCAAGCATCACGCAGAGCAACCTGCTCTTTCTCGGTGTAAAGAGCGTTTCAGAAAAACGCTCCCTGCGAGACCTGCTGGGGTGACCTCAGCGTGGACAGCTCATCGCGAAGGGGGCCGTGACGAGGACCCGCCCGGCGCCTTACCCGCATCTTGCTCAGGTTCCTGTAGTCGTAGTAACTCTCGTACTGCTCAGCCATCTTCCGGCACAAGATGATGCCATTCTCCCAGCACTGAGGACAGAAGAGTCACGGCAGGTTAATGACCCCCCCGCCCTCGCCCACCTCCACCCAGAGCTCAGGACCTGACTGCGTGCGGATCGGCGGGCCTACTGCTTCGTCTCTGTGACCGACCTTTAAGCGTCCTGCTGCAACTTTAAGCGTGAGGACAGCGTGCCAGCAACACGTCGGCTGTTAACACGCTTTAGGAAGCTGGAAGTGATGACTCGCAACGGTCACCAACACATGGTGCAGCGGCGACATTTTTTGGCATCGTTTCAGAGCCCACATGGCCGAGCAGATGCGTAACCCTCAGCGCTAGGGGAAAGTGCCACTCACTCCCTAAGGCCCCAGTCTGCAGACTGGCCCGCTGGATTCCGTGCAGCTAAGGCAGGTGTCATCGAAGCACCGAGAGTCCAAATCAAACCTGCGATCAGATTCGCACGTTCTCCCAAGAGCACAGCAAGCCCTCGGGGGGTGGGGGATGGGAGGAGGGACACTGGGGTGCGTTTTTGGGTCGGAGTTTTTCGGTGCCCGTGGCGTCTCCAAGTGTGTGACGGGATGCCGCGGGGTTCTTCAAACAAGTCATTTTGTTTTGTTCACTGAAAAGCGGAGTGGGGCGGAATACTCGCCAATTTGGGGAGGCAAGTGGGGGTGACAATGGATTTCAGAGAACAAAACGCCTGGGTGGCCAACGCTTAGGTCAGTGCTTCCCGAGGCGTGGCCCCAGCTTCACCCATCGGGCACCTCCCGGCTTCACCCACCGGGCACCTCCTGGCTTCACCCACCAGGCACCTCCCGGCATCCTCGGTAAACCGCAGCCCGCGCCCCACGCCAGACCCCCTTCGTCAGGCCCCTGGGGCAGGGCCGTGATGGGCACGTTTTCACACCTTAAAATTCAGAAGCATCGGCAAACCAGAAGAAAAAGGAGACGCGACACCCACACGACGCCCGGAGAGGCCGCTCACCTTGCCCCTGTCGAAGTTCTGGATGACGGCGAGGTGCAGCTGCTCCTTGCGCTGCCACTCCGTCTGCAGCGGGTAGGCCAGGAACTCCCGCAGGGGCCGGTCCGACCATTCCAGAAGCTCGTCGTACAACAGGAGCGTATACGCGGCCTCTGAAAGCCAGGTGGGGGGCAGTGATCGTAACAGGACCCCAACCACCTCCCCTGGCGGCGGGGTGCTGCTCGGCGACTAATAGGAGAAAACGGCGTTTCCTGCCTGCCTCCCTCCCTCCCTCCCCTTCCCTTCCGTTTTCTGCAACGCCCATATGCCACTGGCATAATAATGCTGGCAGGTACTCGTAGCTGGTTCGAAGGCATAGGGGTGAAATGGCTTGTCCGCTGGGAAGTTCACCAGCGAGCCCCTTGAGGTGGGGCTATGGGTATCTTCGAAACGGCATGCTTAGGAAGAAAAATGGTAGCTACACTCTTCTGGCAAATAAAAGGCTGAAAGACTTGAAAATGGCGTTGGGGGTGGGAGGGGAGGGAAGGGTCAGGATGCAGGCAGAATGCAGGACGGGCAAAGAGGCCAGAGAAGAAACAGAAACAAATCTAGCCACACAGGAGGGATTAAAAAGCACAGAAGTAACGGATGAGAGAGAGAGAGAGAGAGAGAAAGAGAGAGAGAGAGAGAGAGAGAGAGAGA